GCTGCTCTCCCTAACGCCCAGTTTTAAAGAAGTTGGCAAGTATGCAACCTCTGGGAGCTGTGGTTCCCCTCCAAAAAAATACCCCCACACTCCACAGCTCTTAATTTGCAATGCTCCTTCGAAGGGGGGGGTGCTTTTTCCCTCCTATTTCCTGAAAAACAGGGGTTATGAGTTAATTTCATTGGCATCAAGGTATTTTTCACTTCAATGAGACAAATAATTCCCCTCCACAAAACCATTTGTGCAACCATAGAGATATTTTTTTGTAATTTATTTGACAGAGTGGTGGCGGCCTTCATCTGCGCCTGCCACATTTTTTCCAAACCTGTTATTTCTCTCTTGTGAGGATTCCTCAGGAAGAGAGACATTTCCTTCACACCAAAGGCCTTCCACACCTCGTAACTTCTGGAAAAACATCCAGAGTCCTCTGGTAACGTGGTCCCCATGCTACATGCTGTTCAGTCACTTCCAATTTATTTTTGGGGTTTTCAAGACGCCTACGGCGTTCAAAGAACGATTTGCCATGGCCACCCCTCTGTGAGTTTACATAGCCGAGGCGGGATTTGAACCCAGAGCCCCCACGTGAACCTTTCTTTCCCCACCTCCCCAGTCTCCCAAGCATCCGTTTCACAGCAGGGTAGGCCGAAGGCTAAATAACAAGCAATTTCCCAGTCCCCCGAAGATAAGATGGTTGGAGAAGGACAAGGGGCAGATGCTCCCCTGCAGAAAGGGGGCTGAGCAGAGTTGGGAGACGGGTTCGAATCCTGCTATGATTCAGGCTGCTGTTTTCGAAGCTAATCCAGCTTTCTCCTAGGCTTGACTTCCTGACTCCATCCTCCAGCTTCTTGCCAAGGAAGAGTCATCCCAGGACAAACTGGAAGGACAATTGGCCCTGGAGGACCCACACCCAACCCATCACCCAATACAAGGGGATTCATTTCCTTCCTTTCTAGGAATTAGTCTGTTTTTCCACTTCATATATTTAACCCTCCAAAAGCCAAAGTAGGATGATGTAAAAATATTTACTAGTGAATGAGTTTGCTTGAAATTTGGGGGGGATGGGGTAGGAAAAGGTAGAGAAGTGAAATATTTGAAGATGCAAAGCAGTTGCAAGCCAAGGGAGGCAATATATACAGGTTCAGTAACTGATCCGTTGCTTCTGTGGGAATGCAGGAGTTTGTAAATGATCAAAGCATTAAATAACTGGAAATCCCATGATCCAAGACCATTGAATGGTTTTCCTAAGGCCGGTGGGAGCATTCTTTTGGTGGGAATACAGGAATAAAGAGTCTCCTCTTGATTGGGCTGCAAGTTTATTCATTTTTTTAAAGCAGAAAACTATTCAAACTCTTTAAATTTGGCCAAGGCTATATAATTGCGGGGTCAGGAAGAGATGTCTTTTTATAGACTACAGCTCCCATCATCCTTGCCCCTTGGTTGTGTTATTGATAGCTGATGACCCTGAGGGCTGCAATTGTTCATCAGACTCAACAGGACAGGTTGCTGTAACTTGGATTCGAATGGATGACACCTAAGTATTATTAGAACTGTGTCAGATTTGTTTGTTTTTGAAATACTACTCCTGCACAGCTGGACTATAAACACATTTAGGCACTGCCTGGGCAACAACGCTCCCCCCTCCCCGTTGACTGATCCTTCCGCTCCAGGTGCACCATATAGAAAGAAGCAAAAGAGGGGTAGGTCTTTTGTAAACTTGATAGCTCTTGATTGCCCATTCAAAACTAAGTCACTCTTGAATACTTTACATTAGAGGAAGTAGAATTGGTGCCACAGTGACAAAGGCCTTACTTTACATCCTGTTTGGATTCCTATAAGGTGATCTACATGGGGCTGCCATGGGAATGTGTCCAGAAACTTCGCTAGGTACAGAATGCTGCAGTTAGGCCCCTAAATGAAGTTGGCTGCAAGGAGAATATAAATTCTGTGTTACAACAGGTTCGATGGCTACCAATATGTTTCCAGGCACAACTGAGGGTGAAAACTTTGGCCCAGGCTCTCTGCAGGACTGTATCTTCCTTCCCCCCCACCCCAGGATCCTCCCTAAGCTTGAAGATCTTTGGGCACCTCATAAGAAGGCAGGATTCGCTGGAAAAGACACTAATGCTAGGAAAAGTGGAAGGCAGCAGGAAAAGAGGAAGACCAAATATGAGATGGATTTGCTCCTTAAAGGAAGCCACAAGCTTGAGTCAACACGAGCTGGGTAGTGGAAGACAGGACATTTTGCAGATCTTTCATTCATAGGGTTACCCGTAAGTTGGGGGCAACCTGACAGCATATGACGAGGATGACCAAGGCTGTTGAATGACAGCCTTTGGATATTTATCCACTGCAGCCTAAAGCACATTCTCTCTCCAACTCATAAGTCCTTGCGGTTTCAGTCAAAATCCTGTGAATTTTACCAATTGGGGTAGATCGATTGAATCAAATATATATTTACGTATTTATTTTATTTACCACCCCATCAGCGCAAGCACTAGTCTGGGCGGTTTACAAGTTAAAGCTGAAGCCCCACAAAACCCCACAAAATACAAAATACATTCATCAATATAGTGATTTAAGCATGTACCGTAGGTCTAAAATTCATCCTCCCCAAAAAGGGGTGGGGTGGGATTAAAACCAACATTAAAATGTACGGCATTAGGGAGAAGCCGTTGTTGAAGGCAGCTTTGAATAATTCTGTTTTCATCAATTTCCTGAACATAAAAAAGGGAAGGAGCCTGGAAAATTCTCAAAGGGCCAGATTCCTATTGCAAAATACCGCCCACGTAAATGGTGCAAGTGATTTTCATAATCTTCTGCTCTCTGTTGTCCGTTCGGGTGTACGTTGACACCAACACCCGGAAAGACTCCACCTACTATTAATGCCACTATGGGTTTACATGTGATCAGATTCTAGCCAGCTGGATGGACGCCAAGTGTGGACACCAAAATAGGCCTGCTTTAGTTGCACACAGCAGTAGGATTTAGGTCTGTATGAATGAGGTTAGCAGAAAAATAAGCTTTCTTGAGCAAAACCGAATTGCAGTAGGATCCCCTTATCTGCGGGATCAGTATCCACGGATTCACTTATCCACGGTCTGAAAATACTGAAAATGTTAAGAGAAAAAAATATATATATTTCTAAAGATGACGTCACCAGAACTGGCCAATAGGGGGAGGCAGAGACTAGGTTATGTATACTGTTCACTATGAAAATAGTGTTATAATCCATGGTTTTCAGCATCCACAGTAGGCCTTGATATCAAAAGATATCAATTCAGCTCGAAAGGAGGATTCCAACAGAGTATGGCCACAACTGTATTAACCACTTTCCTCCTTCAAACACGCATACACACAACGGTGAAACATCAGACAGATGGAACATTAAGCGCTGTCATCTCAAAGAGCGGGCAGGATATACGGCAGCCATCGTGGCTTTTCATCTGTGTGTGCCTTCTCCTCGGCGTGCAAAGTCTGGTGTCGGCTGAGGCTTGACCTGTGGCTGAAGGTCTTCCCACAGTCCAGGCATTGGTACGGTTTCCCTTCCGCGTGGTTTATTTGATGCGCCGCGAGGCTCCTCTTGATGGTGAAGCCCTTCCCACACTCGGGACAGCTGTACGGTTTCTCCCCATTGTGGCTCATCTGATGGACCATTAATTTGCTCCGGTCGGTGAAGCTTTTCCCGCACTCCAGGCATTTATGGGGTTTCTCCCCCGTGTGGACCATCTGGTGCCTGCTGAGGCCGGATCTCATGTGGAAATCCTTCCCACACACCAAGCACTTGTAAGATTTCTCTTGGCTGTGAAAGACCTGGTGGATTTTCAAGACCGACCTCTGGCTGAAGCTCTTCCCACACTCCAGGCACTGGTAGGGTTTCTCTCCGGTGTGATCCATTTGATGGGCCACGAGGTTCCTTTTTGAGGCGTAGCACCTTCCGCACTCTAAGCACTGGAACGGCCTCTCTCCCGTGTGAACAATCTGGTGCCTATTCAAGCTGGACTTCAGATTGAAGCTCCTCCCGCACAGCAGGCATCGGTACGGTTTCTCTCCGGTGTGAATGATCTGGTGCGTCCTCAGCCCGGACTTCTGGCTGAAATTCTTGCCACATTCCAGACATTTATACGGCTTCTGCCCCGTGTGAATGATCTGGTGGGTTTTGAGGGTGCTGCTCCGGCTGAAGCCCTTCCCGCAATCCAGACAGGTATACGGTTTCTCTCCTGTCGCAGCTGGCGGATGAGGAGCGAACAGGATCTTCTGGCGGAAGCCCCTTCCCCACTCCAGAACCTCACAGGTTTCCTCACCCAGGTGCGTTCTTCGATATTCAGTAAGGTCCGAGTTCCAATTAAAATCTTCTTCACCCTGTGGCCATTTATGCGCTTCCTCCCTTAGGTGATCGGCCACAGGATCATCCCAGCTCGATTCGGAATAAAGATCTTCAACCGTTTCCATTTTCTCGTGGACTGGGATTTCCCAGATGTCCAAGCCCAGAAAAGGAGGTGATTCAGTCTTTTGTTTCTCCTTTCTCTCTCTTTTTTTATTTTGCTTTTCTTCCTCCGGATGTCTCGTCGTTTCCAACAACATGGCACACAACCCACCTTTATTTTCACTCTCCCGCCGATCAGCACCTTGAAAGAGGAGGGGGAAAAAAGAGGGGGGACCCACTCCATCAATTCAAAAAAGAAGCAGATTTTATTGGTTGTGGGTGGCAACAATGAAAGCCTCTCTCTGTAAACTGAACTACAGGTAGTGGGGAACATGTGGCCTTCTGGAGGATGATGGAGCGTGCAGTGCCTATCAGCTGCACCCAGCACAGCCAATGATTGGGGATGATGGGCGCCGTAGTCCAAAATCATCAGAGGGATTCAACTCAGAGATTCCTATAGCACACAGATTTATGTTAAACTAAATTTAAAACCTATACTGTCAAGTGTGGGCTTATGTACATGGAAAGCAGAGTTCCATTCAGATAGTAAAGTACAGTGGTGCCTCGCTTAACGAGGATAATCTGTTCCAGCGAAAACGCTGTAGAGCAAAATCCTCGTTAAGCGAAAATAAAAAACCCATTGAAATGCATTGAAAACACGTTCAATGCATTCCAATGGGCTGAAAACTCACAGTCCAGCGAAGGTCCTCCATAGGGGTGGCCATTATCGGTGCCTGTATAGCGAGAAATCTGTCCTAAAACACAGCGGGGAGCTATTTTGAGCAGCCGGCGGCCATTTTGAAGCCGCCAATAAAATCGTCGTAATGCGAAGAATCGACTCCCGAAGCAGGGAACCGACTGTCGCAAAGCGGATTTTGCCTATTAAAACATCATTTTGCGATCGCAAAATCAGTCATTGTACAGCGGTTTCGTCGTTTAATGAAGCAATCATTAAGTGATGCACCACTGTATGCTGCATACACTGTATGTAACAGGAAGCGGTTACTTTCCCCCACTTGGACACTGATCTCAGCAAGCAAGAGCCAGGGAGATCCTTACCGAGAGAAGCCATCATCCCATAATTCTCCTTCATCACCTCGGTGTGCAGGGCTCTTTGGTGGAGATCCAGCAAGATCCATTCCTCTTCTGTGAAACACACAGCCACCTCCTCAAAGGTTACCTGAAATATATAAATATATATACCGTATTTTACAGTGTATACGACCCCCCCAATGTATAAAATGCCCTCCTAATTTTGACCCTTGATGGAGGCAGAGGAGCAGTTAATGGGCAACTGCTCCTCCATCTCCTGCTGTCTCTGCTGCCTGCTTGATCACCTCCTCCAGTGCGACTGCCGACTGCCAGGGCTCACCTTCAGCTCATGTGGCTGCCTTGTCCCCTGCCCTGAGGAGATTGTGGGAGAAGGTGATCTGCCGGCGGCTGCAGAAAGAGGTGCCTAAGCGCTTGCGAGTGCTTCCATTCCTCTTCTGTGAAACACACAGCCACCTCCTCAAAGGTTACCTGAAATATATAAATATATATACCGTATTTTACAGTGTATACGACCCCCCCAATGTATAAAATGCCCTCCTAATTTTGACCCTTGATGGAGGCAGAGGAGCAGTTAATGGGCAACTGCTCCTCCATCTCCTGCTGTCTCTGCTGCCTGCTCGATCACCTCCTCCAGTGCGACTGCCGAGGCTCACCTCCAGCTCACGTAGCTGCCTTGTCCCCTGCCCTAAGGAGATTGTGGGAGGAGGTGATCTGGTGGGGGCAACAGGAAGAGGCGCCTAAGCGCATGCGAGTGCTTGTTTGCCTCCTGCCTCCACCACCAGAGGGGACAAGGCGGGCAACATGAGCTGGAGGTGAGTCCCGGCAGTCGGCAGTCGCACTGGAGGAGGTGATCGGGCAGGCGGGCAAGGCAGAAGCAAGAGGCACCCGAGCGCGCACGCATGACTGCTTCCTTGCGTGTATAAAACGACACTCAATTTTTCCTCTAATAATTTTAGGGAAAAGTGTCGTTTTATACACGGAAAAATTCGATATATAATTCTGTTCACAAAGAAATAGTTTTTCCTCCACTGGAGCAGAATCTGAAATTACACTGAATCCAATTTAGCAAAGGTTCAGGTAGAGGATTCGAACACTCAGAAATGGCGTTCCCATCCTTCTTACAGGGCAGAGAAGAGAGAGAGAGAGGCTTCCAGTTGAAGTCAGGACAATAACCCCCAGCCTTATCTTTACTGTCGATTCTGCCTGTACCTGATCCAGCTGCACAGAGGCCATTTCCGGTGCATCACAAAAGAAGGATGAGCGAGTATGAATGGCTGCTGGCAATCTTGGTCGATCTCCTGTGATGGAGGGGTGGGGTGGGGAGGAGAGTGAACAGAAGAGCCATTTATTAATTTGTAGGTCTCTGGCTGCGGAGCCAGAGGTTGGAAGTTCAATTCCCCGACTGGGTCTCCTGTGAGTACAGCCAGCCTGTGTGGCCTTGGGCAAGTTGCAAAATCCCAGGGCAACCCCATAAGAAAGGAAGAGGGAAAACCATTTCTGAGTTTTCTCTACCTAGAAAACCCTGATAAAGAGTTGCTGTAACTCAGATGGACTTGATGGCACATCATTATTATTCTTTTAAACCCAGCCTTTGGCTGCACTGCCTTCCAGTCAAAAGTGCAAAATCCTATGGGACAGGACAAAAGGAGTTAGGGAGCGCAGAAGGGAGCAAGGTGGGTCCCACACAGGTCTCTTTTTCCAACTCCGCTTGGAGATATGAAATACTGAACATGGGAACTTTTCCATAGCACGCATAGGATCCACTGCTGAGCCATAGTTCCTTCTAGCTGACCTCCAGATGATGGCTGAGATACTGACCCACAGAAGCTGCCCTTCAGTGGATGTTTCGTACATAGCTGAGAAGGGCTACAACACATATAAGGAGACACACACCCCAACCCACCGGAAAAAACTTTACGACCCCCAGTTTGGGAAACACTGATCTAGTTCTGTATAGTGAGAAATCCGTCCCTAAGCACAGCGGGGAACCATTTTGACCACCCAACGGCCATTGAAAACCCGACGATCAGCTGTTTTGATAGTCGTAATGCAAAGAATCGGTTCCCGAAGCAGGGAACCAATCTTCGCAAGGCAAAAAAAATTTTTTTTAAAACATCGTTTGCGATTGCAATTGCGATCGCAAAAACATCGTCGTAAAGCGGATTCGTCATAATGTGGGGTAATCGTTAAGTGGGGCACGACTGTAGAAGAGAGCAAGGTGGGCCTCATGCAGGTCTCTTTTCCAGCTCCGCTTGGAGATATGAAAGACTGAACATGGGACCTTTTCCATAGCACGCATAGGATCCACTGCTGAGCCATAGTTTCTTCTAGCTGACCTCCAGCTGATGGCTGACAGACTGATCCACAGAAGCTGCCCTTCAGTGAATGTTTCGTACATAGCTGAAAAGGGCTACGACACATATAAGGAGACCCCCCCAACTCCACGGAAAAAAACCTTTGATGCTGTCTAGGCTTGTTATTGCTTTCCTCCCATCGCTTTCCTAGTTCTTTAACCCTAGTTATTCTGCATTTTTGGAAATATTAATTAATTTATTATTTTATGTAATTTATATGCCACCCACACTACCCAAAGGTCTCTTTTTGAACATTCTCCATTAGGAGTGGTGGGAGTTATCTAACAGGCAACTTTGAGCAGTGTGAGTCTCGGACTTGTCTTGGGTGTGTGGTGATTCGGCCCCGACGACAGACCCTGCCCCGTGACAGGATGTCCAGGAAGCCCCACCTTTTTCTAACAGGAAGTTAGAATGGGGCTAGGCCTGTCCTAGGCGAGCCAGCCAGGCCTTTTCTCCCGGCGAGCCACACCTATCGGTGTGTCCAGAGGAACTCCCAGAATGGAGAATGGTGGGTTTTTCTAGTCCCAAAAATTCAAATCGCACATTCCTAATGACTAATACAAAAAAACAAGTGCTGGAATTCAGCACTCAGAGGGACAGAAAACCAGCCAAGGGACAGCAAGCATATCTGAGAATGGGGGGGACCAAGTTTTAAAAAAATACAACAAAACCGCGAATCCTTACCCAGCGAGATGGCTCCTTGGTCGCCTTCCAGTGCCAGCCACAAAGAGGGCAGAGTGAGTCTTGCGTCCGGGGGAAGCTTTCGCATCTTCAGCCTGTCAGCATCCTCTTTCATACACAGATCCTGCACCAGAGAGGACAAAAAAAATGAGAACAAGAGATGGGACGCGGCGGGGGGGGGGAGTGGAATTAGAAAAAAGTGCAGGACGAAACAGGGAGGCCAAACACCCGTCCCTTCGTTGAGTGACCTCTATAAAGGAGGAAAATCTAGGAAAGCCTCAAGTAGATTCTGAGTCCTAATCCACCAGGAGGAAATGCTCTTACCTCCAATTTTTCCTGCTTTTTCTCCTCCGCCTGGCTCAGGAGGAAGCCTTCGGCCAGGGCCACCGCCTGGGAACTGGTCTCCGCTCCACATTCCCTCACCCAGCTGGACATCTCCGGGGGAAGGATGGCCAGGAACTGCTCCAGGATCACCAAGTCCAGGATCTGAGCCTTGGTGTGCCTTTCTGGCTTCAGCCACCGACGGCAGAGTTCATGGAGCCGGGCACAAGCCTCTCGGGGACCCCTGGCCTCTTTGTAGCAGAACCCCCTGAAGCGCTGGCAGTGGAAATCTGAGCTGCCCTTCTCTTCACGGGGGACATTTTTGAACGTCCTTCCCCCGTCTTCCCCAGTGATCCCAGCCTGGAAAGCATCAAGGCCTCCTCCTGCTTCAGGGCCAGAGGAACCTTCTTCCGCCATCTTAGTTTGGGCTCCGAGGGAGCCGTCCACGGGGAAGCCTGTCCTCTTTTCCCAGATTTCGTCCTTAATCAGCACCCGAAAGGAGCGACGGTCTCGAGTCCTGGAAATCGGAAAAGAAGATCTGTGAATCAACACTTTTTTCATATTCTCAAGGCAAAGCAAGGTTTTACAGTCAGGGTTCAAGTTGTCTGGAGCTGTAGAAAATGTGACTTAAACATTGTGACTTAAAAACAACCTAGTGGTGACAGTGCCCAGTACTGAAGAGGTGACCCTATTAAGAGCAATGCTCTCCAAGGGAGCAACTGGGCAGCTGCGCTAGCTGAAAATGGTGCGGGCGGAGGAGGCAACAGCGGTGACACTCAAACTAACTTTTGTTAACACTGACCATAGTAAACCCTGCTGAACTTTGCCCACCACGAAAACCCCAATGATGGGGCAGTCCAAAAAGGAACAAGAGATAGGGATGGAAGATGAGACTCCCAGGGTAGAAAGCAATCGAAGGGCTACTAGGGAAGACTCCCTAAAGGAAGCCACAGGCTTGAGTTTGCAAGAGCTGAGCAGCGCAGTTGAGGACGTGGTATTTTGGAGATCACCGATTCATAGGGTTGCCATAAGTTGGAGGCAATTTGATGGCACAGAGTTAAATTTTGTTATACAGTCATAGACCCAAAAATTCAAAGATAAAAACATAATATAAGATATACAGAGTAAGTACATTGCTAGAACATATCGAAGGAACTTGAGTCAGGTGCTTGTCTTAATATAACATTTTATGAATTCTTAAAACTGGGAATAAAAACTTAGCCACCGTGGAACTTGAGTCAGGTGCTTGTCTTAATATTACATTTAAAACTGGGAATAAAAACTTAGCCACTGTCTGTGCTATTAATTGGTTCTCTCCCTACAGCAGAAACTTCAGGTAGGGAGATATACTAGAACATTTATACATTATTGGGCAGAGATAGTGGATACGTTCGAACCTATGTAAGCTGCCTTCTAGAATGGTGTGTGTCAAGGACTCAAATGTTTCTTCCCCACAGGGGTATGTCCTTTCTCCATAAGGAATGCTATTAAAGCGCCCTTTTAACAAGGCTGAGGGAGAGCAATTAAACCTAGCCCTTGAGAAGACAAAACGATACCTTGGCACTGTAATTTGATATAGGTAATTTGCTGACTTGGGAAAGTTAAAATTTAAACTAAAGTACATTGGTGCTGGAGGAGGCTCTTGAGAGTCCCCTGGACTGCAAGGAGAACAAACCTATCCATTCTGAAGGAAATCAACCCTGAGTGCTCACTGGAAGGACAGATCCTGAAGCTGAGGCTCCAATGCTTTGGCTATCTGATGAGAAGAGAAGACTCCTTGGAAAAGACTTTGATGTTGGGAAAGTGTGATGGCAAGAGGAGAAGGGGACGACAGAGGTTGAGAGGGTTGAACAGTGTCATCGAAGCAACCAACATGAAATTGACCCAACTCCGCGAGGCAGTGGAAGACAGGAGGGCCTGGCGTGCTCTGGTCCGTGGGGTCACGAAGCGTCGGGCATGACTTAACAATTAAACAACAACAACATTGGTGAACAGGCTGTGGCTGCACACATTAGATGGCACAGAACAAAGACAAAGGATTCAGTCATCTTTGCTTCACCCTACCCCAATAGCCCAATCCCTTCTTCTGTGTTTTCCCTATTTACTATTCCCCCATTCCCTCAGGCAAACGGGAACTGACTTAACTGGTCCGAATGGATGGGCTTGCATTCCACATCCCCCAATCTGCCTGCTATGGAAAAGCATCATTGCCACCCTTAATTAACTTTTTTGGTTTTCCTGTTATCTTCACACTGTTCAGCCCCCCTCTGAAACTCCTCACCGTGTGCCAAATCAGGCGACTGGTGCACGGGAAAGAATACACAAGTGGGGACTCCTTCACTGGCAGCAATTTGCCCCCGTGTGGTTCACACAACTGCACTTAAGCTGGGCAAAAGACTCACACAAGTTTCCGGTGGAAGACACCAAATTAAAAATATCCTTCATCACCCGAGTCATAAAGGGTTGCAGGGAGAACACTTGAGGGGGGGGAAGAAGTCTCACTGGAGCCTTACTTTTGTAATACAGTGGGACCGTAGTATCTGTGGGGGGGGGGGAATTAATCCCAAGCCCTCTCAGTGGATGCCAAAACCCGTGAAAATAGTGAACCCTATAACATGGAATGGTCTCTTACTGAACCACCCCAGTGGTCAGTTCTGGTTAAATACTGTGGAAATATGTACTGTATAAATATGTATTTGGTGTGTGTCTTATTTAATATTCTCAGGCAGTGAATAGGTGAACCTGCACATACTGTTCCTACAGATAGTGGGGTCTTATCTATGAGCCAACATGGTGTAGGGCCAGTGTTGGAATAAAAAGAATCATCCTCTTAGAACTA